GATTAACCAGCAGATTTGCCCCCGTGTGATAACGTCCTATGAAAACAATGGCTTTTAACAGTGTTGGCTTTTAACACCCTTAACGCTTTGGGATCTTGATACTGAAAGGATACCTTTCTCTATATGAGCCTTGCTATTTGTTAACCTTCAGAAGCTCTTTCCCAGATGGCTTTTAGAAGTAAAGTGAATGGCAAAAAGTGAGCTTTTTGTGTAGCAGTTCCAATTATAGAACACCCTTTTCAGAGATACTTCACATTCATTCCATGGCTAGAATCATGTTGGTGAGCTTTGCTGGCATCATCCCTGGCTGACTTCATAATATGTTGTGAAATAACATTTTTTTTACACTTGATATATTTTTGAAAAAGAACAGCCTTCAAAATCTATAGGGTGTGTGTGTTTGTGTATGCACACATGCCTCCAAGACACCTCTTGCCTAGGGTTTTCTTAGGAAAGGAATACTCAGAGGCTATTGCAGGGTTTTATTGGAAAAAAAATTATTCAGAGGAGGCTTGCTTTTGCCTTTCTCCGAGGCTGAGAGAATATAACTTACCAAAGATCACCCAGTAGGTTTTCAAATGAGTATGCTAATGACGAATACAATAAATTCCTCACAAATTCTTAAGAGGAAAAACATCATAAAATCTGTAAAGTACACTGAAAAGGGCATGCATCAGAAATGGTAGTACTATTCCATGATTCATAGCACTTAGTTGTGCTGAGATGCAAAAACAAAAACAACCTCCAAAACATCATTTATAACACTTGCGCACAAGAATAATTACTTGAACATGGTTTAGAGGTCATATTCCAGGAAAACTAGGTATTTTGAAGATTATCTCAGTAAGTTTAACATGATTTTCTTGAAGAAAAATCCAGATTTTCTGGTTGTCAGTATTTGAAAACAAGATGCTTTCTGTAAATAAGTGTAGAAATGGAAGTAGAGCAATTTGGAAAGGATGGTACAACAATAACTCTGTTCACACCACTCTTAAACACAGTAGTTTATCTACAATATTAGCATCAGAATAGGCACTAGAAACATGTGGCATTGATATGTGGTAGGATTATAATTCCCACAGTCATCCATGATGGCTAGGACTCATGGGATCTGCCATCTGAAAACATTTGCAGGGTTATACATTACCTATCTCTGGACTGAATACATTTTCAGCTAGCCACATGCACAAAAACACAACAAATAAAATGAATGGTCAAATTAATAAAACTAAGCAATAGCAGGGTGAAAAAGTTGTTTAAAACACAATTTAGATACAAAAACATAAAATCAAAAGCAACAAAAAATACAACAAGAAAAATAAAAACTTCAAAGCAATCCCAAAACTAAAAAGGACACATTTTAATACCCTGAGACCCAGATAATACAACCCTGGGTGAACAAAAGAGGTTTTGTTTAATTGGTGTCAAAAGGTACCAAATTGACCCCTCTGAGAAGTCTGTGTCACAACAGGGACTGTTGTTGTTATTGTTGTGTGCCTTCAAGTTCTTTCCAATGTATGGCAACCCTAAGGTGAATGTATCACTGGGTTTTCTTGGCTCAGATTTCTTCTGAGGCTGAGAGAATGTGCCATCCAAGGTCACCCAGTGAATTTCCATGACCAAATCAGGATTCAAACCCTGGTCTCCAGAGTCCTAGTCCAGTGCTCAAACCACTGCACCCACTGGGTCTCCATAACAGGGGTATTATTTCAAAAAATGATTTCACCCCAATAGTTACTTTCTTTACTTCATTTGACAGTGGGAATCAAAGTGGCACCTTATTTGGGAGGGGGAGTAATCTTAAGGTTCAAGTAGGTATATATGGGAGAAGATGACCTTTCAGCAGGGTTGCCATACATCACAGAAAACCAGGATAATCCCAGATTGGGGGGGTCTAAAAAATATCCTGGCCTGGGTGAGCATTTTTGACCCTCCAATCCTAGATTCCTGCTTTGTTCCAGGCCACATTTTGTCAATCTCCAGTTGATTTGGAGATTGACAAAATATGCCCTGGATTGGCGGGAGGAAGAGGCTCTGTCTGCGGAGAAGTTCTAGAGAAAGCCTGCACCAGAGACCCAGCCCACTGGCTGAGGCTGCTGTGAGGGAAGGCTTTAGCCCTGTAGACCAGGGGTAGGCAACCTTTCCCCTTTAAGGGCCGAGGGACTTCAGCTCCCAGAATCCCAGGAGCTACTGGCCAACATGGGACTATTGGCCAACATGGCTGAGACTTCTGGGAGATGAAGTCCCTCGGCCCTTAAAGGGGAAAGGTTGCCTACCCCTGCTCTAGACACTCCAGCTGTGCCTCCCACCTCAACACTGCTGCCACCACTGCAACCACCTACTTTTCCAGAGGAAGCCTTAGGGGTCAGCACGCTGTTGTCTCCGGCAGCCTTTCTTCTTCTCCTTCCTCCTCCTCCATCTCCCCAATTAAAGAGCTTCCAGGGTCCTGGCCTGTAGACTTAGCAATGTGCACAGTGGGGCAGCCAACCTCTTGCACTGCTCTGACTTTTCCTCCTGTCTCTGGGCATCGTCACTCGACTCGTGGGCTCCATCCTGAAGCCAGAGGAAGAACAGAAAGCAGCCGCTGGAGGCCGGAGTGGAAGCAGAAGGAGCAAAGGTGGCATGGGCGGATGGCATTGGCTTGTCTCGGTGGTGGTGGCAATGAAGCCCTTCTTGTCTTGGAGACCATGGGCCACCATCTCCAAATGCTACTCCCTCCGCCACAAAGCCATGGCCTTGATGGTGGCAAAGTCAGGTAAGGAAGGGACTGGAGCAGGGCGCATCATCCAGGACATGTCCTCCATTGCAGATGTCTCTCCAGGAAGGAGGGATGCCAACCCATCCTCCATTTGGAGCACAGCTTTGAGGTTGTGGTGTGACTTTAAGTCTTTTCTGACTTAGGGCCACCTTCTCCTAGGGTTTTCTTGGCGAGATTGGTTGGGGGAGGTTGCCACGGCCTTTCCCGGAGGCTGAGAGAGTGTGACTGGCCCAAGGTCACCCAGTGGATTTACATAGCCAAGCAGGGATTCAAACCCTGGTCTCTAGAATCCTAGTCCAACATACAAACCATAATGTTTTAAAATTTTATTAATGTTTTTGACGTTTAGTTGCTTGTTTTTCTTGAATATCCTACATTTTGTCCTGGTTTTGTGGAAGAGAATTATGGCAAACCTATCTTTCAGGTAACTATGGGCTCATTCCCACTTGCATATAAATCAGTTTGCAAGTTGCATTGACACCAGGTTGCGGAAGAAATTCATACCAATGCATAGTTCCCACTGTGGAAGCAAATAATTTCAAGAGTTCCATGCATTCGTGTCTTTTTCGACACACTTTTTTTCACACTAGCCTTTTTTTTTAATGGCAATCATATGACGTGCATCTACGCATCATCAGTGCCAACCAGCTCCAGAGCTCCCAAGCCTCCCTGGGAGCAGGCAGTCCAGGGGCTCTGGAATCAGGCAGGGGGGTGATGCCCTGGCGGAGAAGAAGCTGAAGGAAGGACCCTACCGCCTCCCGATTTTCTCCCCCTCCCCAGATGTTCTCCTTTTCCAGGGCAGGAAGGCACAGCAGGCAGGCAGTCCGGGGACTCCTGGATCAGGCGGCGGGGATGCCCAACAACCCTGGCAAAGAGGAAGCCAAGGGAAGGACTGGAGGATCCTGCCGAGCAGCCTTTGGGAAGGGAAAGAGGGACAGAGGGGGAGAGAGGTGGCAACCAGTGGTGCTTCTTCTGACTTTCCCCCCCCCACATACACTGACTTTCCACCACCCCGAATAGACTTGAATGCTTGAATGGGGCGCCCCTCCATAAAATTGCAAATCTGCAGACTTTAGGTCCACAAGGAGGGGCAACTGTACGTGTAGAACAGTGGTCGGCAAACTATGGCCTGCAGGCTGCAGGGTGCCATTTTACATTCCGCCTGCACTCACGCACGCATGCATACGACGGTGAGAGCCATTTTGGAATGCAAAATGGCGCCGGTGTCATGCACATGCGCTCGCTATTCCGTTTTGCATTCGAAAATGGTGCCAACCATCGTGTGCATGCGTGCGCGAGCGCAGGCGCCATTTTGGGATGTAAAATGGCACCCAACGTTGCGCACGCATGTGCACAATGGTGGGAGCAGTGCGCAAGTGTGTGTAAGTGCGCACGCGCAGCTCTGCCGCCATTTTTCTTCCCTTCAGCCTGCCAATAACTGGGGGACAACGGTACCGGCCCCACCCCCAAAAAGTGCCAACCCCTGATGTAGAAGAATACAACAGTTCCTTGACCAGTATCCAATACTGTGGAACAATTTGGGAGAATCAATAGGGTCACACTCCCTCCTCTTCTCTCAATGAAGATCAGTTAAAGTTTCTACCTCACAACCAGGCCTACAGCCTTATTTAAATTGATCTAGATAGTCAGTTTCATCCCAAACTGACTAATTTGCCCAGCTACTACTCTCATAGTCATTCTAAGCAAAGAAGGAATGTTAATAAAATGGCCTACAGTTTTTATGTTGTACATGTCTAGCATTAATATCTTCAGGAGCAGTTTCACATTTTTTCAGACAGTAATTTACAGTTTTCTGAAGCCAACCAGATATAGCCACAAGGAATGCCTTGTTCATACCCAGAAGCTCCAAACTGGATAGCACTTCTCCACTGGTAAGATTACATTCACAGTGGAATCCAAGTAGGGTTGAGAGGTTGGATACAGGATAGGTCTCCTGTAAGTTTAATCCTTAACCAGCTGCATCCTCAACCGTTCAAGGTGCCCATTACATGGTAAGTGTAAATATTCGAAACTGGCACTTGATTGGATCAGAGGCTGGAAGGAAAGGTGGAATTACCTATAGATAAGATCAAGCCACTCTTCCTAGCCCTTCAACCATTGATAATGCTGTGTTAAATGCTAACATGGCCATAGCTAGAAGAGACTAAACCCACCCACTCTCAATTCCCATGGATAAAAATCAGGTCAGCTTCTTCATCCATCATTAAATTATAGAAGACTGACATTTTGTTTTGGAGTCACCATGCTATTCAACAGCAGTGCCAGAAGGCAAGAGGACAGTATGATAATCAGTAAGTTTCTTCTTGAGGTTAATAACTGTAAAAGGGAACATATGTTGGATCCTTCTTCCCATTTTGTAGCTTATTTTGATGCAATCTCCTGTGGGAATGCACCATTTGTTTCTGTGCATACCCTTTGTTTATTCTTAGCTGCACTTTAAGTACTTCAATGGAAGAATATTTTTAATCAGGAAAATATATTAAGCAAAGCTTTGTACTGCATATTTTAAATAAGGGGTAGGATGGTTTGCAGCTTATCCAAGCTAAAGCTTGAAAACTAGTTGCCACAGCTGGCATTGTCTGTGGCTATTGCTCACATCATTCCCTTCATTTGCTAATAAAATTTATTTGCACTAAAACCTTGGGTGGAAGAAAAGTGCACTCTGCCAACATCCATAGCCTCTTATAGAAACCATACTGAAGAATTCTGGAAGCTATAAATAGTGCTGAGGAGTGGTAAGTCTGGATTAGTACATCTGCAGTCAGAATTTGTCATGAGAGTGGGAAATAAGGAAGCTGCAATTCGGATGGTGTCTGTGGAAAGACAAACAGTGTATATGGAAATACATTTTCACTCTAGAGGACAGAGTAATGTACCATGAGTACTGTTGTGTTGACAATTTGCCATAATTTTATTTAGGTCTGACATAAATTTTCCCCATAAAGCCTGGTGAAGAGTGTCCCCATGTGCAAGGCTGATTTAAAATGTATGTGTAGGCAGTATTGTTTCATTTATCCAGATCTTCTCTGTCCAGATCTCATTACATGCTGACATACTTTATGTTCTTTGACATATTAACATTGGGGTAGTATTGTTCTACAGCAGTCATAATGTTTCTTCCTCAAACTCCCCTTTGTGTGATGCCTATAATAAATGTGACAGTAATCGGACAGTTTCCCATGGACCTCAGGATATACATATTTAGCTTTCTTCCTCAGTATTCTTTTTTAAAGTAAATACAGTTTCTTACAATGCTGAAGGTAAACATGGAGTACCGCTGCCTTTATTCAATATTCTATTGGTATCTTTTGGGTTTTCCCCCCAACTACTGTTGTGTAATTTTGTTCGCTCTTAAATCAACAGTTCAGTCCTGATAGATAACCTCCTCCCCCATCTGCTGCATTACTCCTTGAAAGTAAAATAGTGTGTGTTGTGCACATAAATCCATGCAAAGGTAAAATGGAAGACATAGTATTTGGAAATGTGAAAAATCACTGTTACATGATTATATTGTATTGCACACAACAAAGCAGAGTTGGGCAAAATGTCAGCATTCAAGCATTTGTATCTTTAATACACCTATACACATAGGTATGAGAATGTTGACAGGTGTACACTGTGGATGTTACTTATGACAAATAAAATTGTTGTCTACAACAGGGATTTGTTTTATACAATTCTTAGGTAGCACAGTATAGGAATTATTTAATGTTGTGATACTATTTTCTCTGTTAAATGATCTGGCCACAAATTCTGCTACAATAGTATGAAATATCAGACAAGTAAATATAACTTATATTATATTGTATATATAAAATGGTTGAAACAATATTATAGTTCACCTAAATATAGCTTCACTTTCCTTTCATTTTTAATGATTTTTTTTAAAAAAAATGTTAGCAAGCAGCTT